GAGCGTCACGTCGAGCGCGAAGCCCGACGCGCGGGCGAGCTCCCACACCCACCGCCCGTGCGTCGCGTCGAACGAGGCGGGGTAGCAGGCCGCGCTGCGCAGCGTGAAGGGGATGCGGAAACCGCGGCTAAAGTACATCCGGAGCGGCTGCGTGCGCTCGATCCGGCGCCGCCATTCGTCTGCCGGCCCTCCCGGCGCCGCGAGCAGCTCGGCGAGCGGCCGCGAGAGGCCAAAGAGAGGGCCGCTCGTGAAGGGGTACGGCCCGCTCGACGCCTCCATCCGCTCGAGCGCGCGCCGCGTCCCGCGCTGTAGCCCCTTGCAGCCCTTGAGAGGCTGCAGCGTAGCCTCCGCCCAGGCGTCATACGCAGAGTCGGCGCCCTTGCCTGGCAGCAGCCACTCGGGCCTCTCCGGCGCGGTGGCACTCGCGTTGCGCAGCACGTCGCGGCAGCGCTCAAAGCGGCGGCGCAGCCGGAGGGCGCCCGAGTCGTCGCAGAGCCAGCCGGAGAAGTCGACGGCGGGCTCCTCGCTCACCGCATTGTAGAACGCCTTCCAGAGCACGAGCCCGTAGTGGACGTGTGCGCTCGCTGCCCCGCGGTCGATGAGCCGCTGGACGGAGCGCAGGTCCTCGCTCAGGTGGTTTAGCTGGATGAAGGCGTCCGGGTCGGCGATGAGGATGAACCCGGCCGCAGGGAAGTGGCGAAGCGCGTGCCGGTACCACAGCACCTTTTTCCACGCGCAGAGGTAGAAGCGCTCGGGCATGTCAACGAACAGGAGGTCGCCGTGCGTGGCATTCTCGGCCAGCGCGGCAGCGTCGACGGCGGAGGCGTCCTTGCTGTTGCGCTGCGCGAGCAGGAAGCGCGTTGCGATGCCATGGCCGGGCGATGCGGTGCTCATAGCCTCGCGCACCCGCTCGCGCATGAGCCCCATCTTGCTACTGGTCGCGCGGCCGCTCTCAAAGGCGACGACGGTGCTCATGACGCCGAGCGCGATCACGGCTTGGTCTGGGGCCACCGGCACCGCCATTGTGGCCGCGAGCCTGGCCCGAACGCGTGTTTCATCGGAGCGGGGGGTCCCAAGCGGTGATGTCAGTGAGGAATGTGTCTGTGGTCGTGCTAGTGTCTGGTGTCTACTACTCGCATAATGTGGATAAACGAAAAAAGTAGCGCAGAATTTTCGGGGTTTCAGGCATCCCCAAGGGAGCCTCTGCGGTGCCACATAAGCAGCTTAGTGATGTCGAGACTTTAAAGGATTCGTTTGAACAAACGCAAACAAGACAAACGGTACTATGGTCACCAGTAAACGAAAATTCGACTTTGAGGGATCATATCTCAAAAGGCTGGGTGAGAGCATAGCATTATTGTTGGAGTAATCGAGATCTCTGCGAGAGAGTAGTAGATCGCAGACAGTAGATCGCAGACCAGGAGTGGAGATCCTAGCCGATTCTACCACACAGTCGGGCTTGGTTGAAGATGAAAGATTGAGATCACAGATTGTGGATCGTGTTGGCAGTTGCCAGGGTCAAAGGTGGAGATTGGAGATGGAGAACACAGATCGTAGATCCTCGCGCCGGGCATCCACCACTGGGGCGGAGATTGGAGATCGAGATTGGAGATTGGAGATCGCAGCTGGCGGCGGCAGGGGTCAAATGGGAGATTGGAGATCGGAGATCGGAGATGTGCGGTGTGAATGAATCAATAGCGCATCTCCTTGAAGGTTCGAGCCCCCCCCCCTCCCCCGGCCCCCCGAATCGAGATTGGAGATGGGAGATTGGAGATGGAGATCGGAGATCTAAACTGGATCCGGCAAAATATGACGCTGGAGATTGGAGATTGGAGATAGAGATTGGAGATCTGACTGGATCCGGCCTAAGATGTGTCGACGCTGGAGATTGGAGATTGGAGATTGGAGATTGGAGATTGGTGATCACAGAGGCCGCTGTGATGATCTTTTTGTTTTTTAAAGGTTACTGGTGCGCGGACGGCCCGGGGAGCCTGCGGCGCCATTTTAATCTGCGCTCCTCTTTATGGCCTGCGGCGCCTGGCTTGAGCTTGGAAGTGTAAACGAGTCCGCCAGGGCGGTATGCAAACTCCAAACACGGAGCGCGCTGCGCGCGCGGTCTATGTACGCCGAACTGGGGGCGTTATCGTGTGGTTCGCGCTGCCATCAACAAATAATTTTGTGTAAGGGAGGGGGGGGGGGGGGAGGGGGGGGGGGGGGAAGAAAGGGGGGGGGAAAAACCTTCTTCCGGCAAAAGTGCCCCCCGCCACCGAGAAAGACCAAGGCCCATCCCGGGCATTTGAGGGCCGGGTGACCCAGGGAAAAGGGGGGAACCCCTCCAGGCCCCAAGGGCGGCCCCACCCCCCTGGTCCCCGGCCCCCAAGGTGGGGCCCCCCACCAAAAGGAGGCCCCCCCTGGGGGCCCCCAAAAGCCTGCCCCCCCCCCCAAGGCCCCCCCCCCGGGCCAGCCCGCCAAACAACACACCGACCTCCCAGGGGCCAAACGCCCCCCCCCCGGGCCGCCCCCCTCGGACCCGCCCGGCACGCCCAGGCACCCCCCGGGGGAAAAGGGGCCTGCCCCCCCCGAGCCCCACAAGGTCCCCCCCGGCCTTTAAAAGAAACCCGGTCCCGGCAAAATCCGGCAGGCCCCAAACCAACCGGGGGGGC